AGGGTTTAGGGTTTAGGGGCTCCGCATCTACCGGTCTAACGGGCTGAGATGTCCACGTGTAGACTCCACCTTCAGTAGCAGAGGGGATCCCAGCGACACTCTGAACACTAAGATCCTTACTACCAAGACCCCTAAAACCATAAACCCGTAAGCCTATAAACCCTACACCCGTAAATCCTTAACCCTAAACCCAAAAACCCTAAACCCCTACACCCCAAAACCCTAAACCCCTAAACCAACAAACCCTTCGAGCCCAAACCTACAGGTTCCCCAGGAGGCCGTCGGGTTCGTCACTGGCCGAGCCGGTAATTTCCTCCGCAGTATCGAGGCGCGGGTTGGGTGGTTCTTCGGGTTTAGGGTTTAGGGTTTAGGGCTTGGTGTCGCGTTTAAGATGTTGATTTGGATTCATCCCAAAACCCTAAACCCTAAACCCCTAAACCCTAAACCACTAAACCCCTAAACCCCTAATACACTAAATCCTAAACGGCCTGAGGGCTTAGGGCTTTGGATCTCAAGGTTTCGGGTTCAAGATGGGGGGGTCTAAAGTCTAAATCCCCCTCGTCGTACCTTAGGTTTGCTATTGTAATTGTCATTTATGGCTATAGTATACCCCAAAGCCATCCAGCTTAGGGTTTGTCGATTTAGGGTTTAGGATGTTGAGGCCCTCAACATCATAATCATAAGCATAACCATCATAGTCTTACTAATGATCATCATCTCAATACTACTTATAACAATGGAAATTGCTATCATCGTAAAAAGTCTAAGAAGATCAAGAATAAAGGTGAATGTAACGAACTGCAGGCATCGTCATCGTCATCACCACCATCGTCACCGTCATCACCGCCATCGTCACCGTCATCACCACCATCATCACCATCATCACCGTCATCATCATCATCGTCATCGTCCTCACCCTCATCCTCATCACCATCCTCGTCCTCATCCTCACCATCACCATCACCATCGCCATCACCATCACTATCACCATCACCATCCTCATCACCATCATTCGATTAAAAACCCTGCGACCGGCCCGCCAACGTCATGGGGTAATACACCCCAGAACCCTAGGCTAAAAGTGGATTCAGGCTTTCGGGGTTTCAGGTTCAAGGCTGTGGATTGAGCACTTGAAAGGCGTTGGCTGCTGATCTTTGGGCGCATGGTTTAGGTTTTAAGCCATCGGATGCAGGCGTTAGGGGTTTAGCCAAAGGTATCGAATGAGGGTCTTAGGAATTGTGGGGGGTAGCGGGCTCACAGAATGGTAGGTGTTTCGGCTCCATCATGTTGATTGCTTGTGTTTTTGTTTGTAGCTCCTGGGGATTTAGTGAGAGTGCTCAGGGTTTCCTGTTTCTACTGCTTGTGCCAAAAAACCCCTAAACCCCTAAACAGCTCTCAACAATTAAGCTTATGTATGGTTCAGGTCGTCGAAGGAGTATAATCGATAGGGCCGAAAGAGAGACAAGAGTTTCGCAGAGGTTTCAATGACCCCAACCCTAACCCAAACAGCCTAATTGCTTAAGCTCTATCCTAAAGGCTAGATCCTCAGATCCCAAACCCAGCACCTCTAAACCCTAAACCCTAA